CACTGAAAAGTAAGGTAAGGTTGGCGCAGAGTCTAGATAGGTACTCCAAAAGGAGCGTCAGTCTTGTAGACAAGTACGCCGGCGGTAGCTGATCGCGATGTGATCAATCTGAGTTCAGGCTTGAGATGCAGAAGTTGGACGCCAGGTGGCACATCGGCGATGACTGCTCCGAAAGTAAGTGCTGGGATGTCACGAACTTAAGGTTTTAATGTTGATTTATCACGCAAAATACCTCTTTAAATCGTGATACGAACGTTGAATTGGTTTCACTTCCTACCCAGTAATCCTATTACAAGCAAACTAGACAATTTGCTAATATACGAAGCCTACTGAAGACCCTATAATACCTGAAAAAAAATAATACAAAAAGTGAAAAGGGCTCCAATAGCTTCGATAAAAAAGGAAGATGGCCAATTGTATATCACAATACTGTTTCTAGCACTATACTTTATTTTATAACCACACATAATCCCATACTCTCAGCTCCTTTCTGAATCGCCTCTATTTGTCAGTTGTATGTCCACTCATACCTTGTTCACACTTATTTTCTTTAACCTATTAAAATGCTCTTTCTTAACAAATACCTTAATAAAAGAAAATTAGACTGAGTAATCATACCTTAAGCATTTCTTCATGGATATTGGCTACTCTGTCTCTCGTCCTTTCTTTTACTTGCCCCTTGTGATATGGAACGGGTGATTTCATCCTGAACCATCCTCAAAGCCTTAGATATTCCAAAGGGACATAAGGTTGCGACTTTTAGAAGCTCCTATATTCAATGGACCTATCCTTGACCATCAGTTGCACATTCGCAACGCAACTTTCATGAAGCGCGCCAACTGTGATACTGATTAAAACCATCTACATTCATATCTCATAAATTATCAACCCAGCCAAGTAGTTTACTATAGTGGATATGTAGATCACCAACGTAGATGATCTATGTCGAAATGATTGGAGGCCGACTCGAGTTAGACGTGAATAGTGTGACGAACCAACTAACGTCGAAATCACACCTCGTGGTCAGCACCTTACGTGGACTACCCCCATTGACGTAACAAGGTACTATAGATGCTTTGAAGACTGTACAACACAAAGGACGTTATTACAGAAATATATTAGTTAAAGTAGATACAAGCGAAAGTAAGACCACTGCCGCATGGGCCAGTCCATGGCGTATGATTAACTAATGCGCGTTGCCTGTACATGACCTTGGCAGGGAGCGATGATCTGTTCGACATTCAGTGATCCAACTGCCGGATGATTTGGCTAGGGCTCAGTGACATTTCACTGGCCCTACAATACTCCCCCACCAGATTCAACGGCCGTTTGAATCGGTACCAAACATGTTGGGAGCAGTCGCGCGCCGGAGAGTGCCAAACGAATATTATAAATTCTCCAGGTATTGCTTATCTGTAAAACAAATGGAAAGGAGGCGGCAGAAACTGGTCGGGAAACAGCGAGTCCTAATGTGTTAGTAGGACGTTGGTTAAACGTAAAGCGATTAACCATAGAAATAATGAAAAGAACAAAACGTTTTATTGTTCTATCAAGTCGCGCTGAAATATATAGCGTTGACAAGTAATTCAGTTCCTCCGATGACAAACGTTAAGTCTGCCGCAAAAGTAATGATGCTATAGCGATAGTAGGATAAGTGTATTATCAATCGATATCCATATTTGTACTGTCATTAGTTTAAAGTTGTAAGTCGGACAGTGTCGTTGACAGCTATTAATTAGTGTCAAATTCTAGTTATATCTATATCTAACAGACTAACCGTAAGTACAGAAGTATAACAGTGAAGAGTGGTCGTGATTTCGTTGTGCGAAGCTATTGACCAACTTGTAGTCACAGTTTGAAAAGTCGATGACTGCTGTTACAGTCAGTAAGGGTTGAAGGCTACAAATCCACAGCAAAGGTGGCACGATGAAGTCTCTAAAAGATGATAAACGGTGAATGCTGCGTGTTTGTTCGGTTAGTGAACAGAAAAATATCGAAAAGAACATAAGAAACCAAGAGTGTCACTCTGGACTCATGTCAATGATACCCGTGAAAAACGCTGTCAGTGTTGGGATAGAGGCGACAATATCGTTTTCAGTTTGCAGGAGATTCGCTCGACTGCATAAACTGATGATTCGCGCGAATGATATTGTCGTCAGACCACCAATTGAACTGGACAGGTTGTAAATCGTCGAGTAGTTGAACAGCCGATTGATGTACCGGAATCATCGGTGAGATAACAGCCACGAGGAAACAATACTTCATAAAATGAAGTACGACATCGAAGTAGAACAACTACAATAGTTCAGATGTGTTACAATGTCAAGTCTAAATAACATCGTTCTTACGTATACTGACAGTTGCACTGAACGTTCGCTTAGGTATGATTAGCGTAACAGTTGGATGTGTGAATAAAAACATATACGAAAACTATGGTTGGGTTCGTGGAGAATTTTCGAGGACGTTTAGATATTTTCCAAACCCGTATCGCATGTAAATAAACCGAAAATAGAATTAAAATGACTGTCGTGTAATAAGGAAATCGAGCCATGATTTACCATGTGAATTAATAGCAAATACAAGGGGTATAATAAACATTAATTAAAATGGTAACCACCAATGTAACTAAGGTTTAGAGGGTCCAGGTAACGTGGCCATTTCGTAAAAGGCTGATACAAAGAGCTTATTACCTAGCGTTAAGTGACATATTAAGTACGACAACATGTGTACTTGGGACATGGACTAAGCGTGCTCGTGTACATGCAATATGTTTTACCACAGTATGTCGACTAACGAGTCATAAATGTACATGATTTCGACTAAAACTTGACGGCAGTGACAGAATATATGACTGGTTTACGTGAAAGCAACTACGAAATGTTATCACGCATCATAAATATAGTACGAAATAATCTAATGAAATTATGAAACTCGCCTGGGTTACTCTTGCCTTTAAGTAATGAAGTAGGCAGTAGTTTGAATCTGGATTATGTACGAGGTACTGTTGATTAAATTTTTCGATTAACACAGAGTTGTAGACTGACGAACAGTCTAAACGAGATCTAAGATCGCAGGAAATTTATAGTTCAAACTCACCGTGAATTTCTAGCATTCGTATCCTCTGTTTGGCCATGGAACTCAGCAATTGGAAATTAGGCAGGTAGTGGTAAAAAAAAGCAGAACATTCTAGTGGATATAGATTAAGCAGAAAGATGAATTTATAGTCGATAGTTAATCTTGTCTTATTTATACCAGTGGATAAGGTACAAAGAGATATGCGTTCGTGTTGCCTTGTGGCTATACTCACGAGTGGTTGATATTTTAACAGACATATTACACAAGAGCATTTACATGCTGCTAATGCTTGTTAAAGAACCACGATAGCCGATTATAATCGTAGTTGATTGGTTAGTTCTGTCGATTGAACGAATTATCTAGGTTTAAATGCTAATCAACATTGACATGAAGCAACGAAAGTTCACAGTAACAGATTAACATAGGCGATGATAAAAATGAAAAAGAATAAGTATAGAATACAATAATAAAGATTATAGTGATAGGTTGCGTTATTCGAAGTCTTGCTCACCAGTGTAGATCACCAACGTAGATGATCTATGTCGAAATGATTGGAGGCCGACTCGAGTTAGACGTGAATAGTGTGACGAACCAACTAACGTCGAAATCACACCTCGTGGTCAGCACCTTACGTGGACTACCCCCATTGACGTAACAAGGTACTATAGATGCTTTGAAGACTGTACAACACAAAGGACGTTATTACAGAAATATATTAGTTAAAGTAGATACAAGCGAAAGTAAGACCACTGCCGCATGGGCCAGTCCATGGCGTATGATTAACTAATGCGCGTTGCTTGTACATGACCTTGGCAGGGAGCGATGATCTGTTCGACATTCAGTGATCCAACTGCCGGATGATTTGGCTAGGGCTCAGTGACATTTCACTGGCCCTACAGATATTGTATCATTTGTAACAATTTGATCTTGCCTGTAAACTGGTATGCCTCATGTAACTAACTGTTATTTGAAAATAAATTATTATAATTATAACAGACAACTGGTGGTAAAACTCATCCTTGATTGCATCCGGGCTGCAATCTGTCGGAGAACAGACGGAGATGACGAAAAGACATCGTTTCTCACGCCGATTTCTTCTCACTTTGATGGAACTTTCTAATCTAACAGCACAATTTGCAGTACTTTATCAGTCTTGAATACGGGTCTCGGATAGACAACAAACGTCGATATTAAGACTTTTCAAAGACATAGCCAGCACTGTCTGTTTTCCGACCTGCATAAGTGTGCGAACGTTGAAGGCAGTCAGCTTGAATGGTGCACGTGGTTTCAGAAGAACTGCTTCAGTATTCGTATTTGGTGGTAGCATACAATTTTCAACCAGGCAGTGACTCGAGAACGTTTAGATAGAACCGAGTTTCCACCATAGGCGAGCTGCTGTATAAATCGAAAAATAAGGATACATAGAGTGGGAATAAAAGAGAGCGAATAAGCGACGTGGTAAATAATAATGTGAATTGTTTGACTGTTAATCAAGGCGTGAATAGAATTTTCAGTACATATCGTCATTTTTGTTTTATTTGTATGTGGGCTGTGATACTGCCCAGGTGCCCAGATCGAAGCAGGTGATTTTCTTAAGAGGCCACACTCCGAGCCTTTCACCTAAAGGTCTGGTCCAAAAGGCAGTAGAGCATCGTGGGGAGATGCAGTCCCATAATAGCCGGTGATCAACGATTGCTTCATACGCCATTTGTCCCTTCAGGATACTGGAGCCCATGTGCACCATTGGTTTGGAATCAGGGTTTTCCAACTCCCTTAGGTGGACCCACCGTGTCCACTGGCCCGGTTAAAACGCCGGACATTCACTTTTCGTCCTCTCATTTTCGTAAACAATACTACCGCCACGAGAACGCAGTGAGTAGGACTTGCCTGACAGAGGCTGTGTACACGTGGCCGTGTGAGAGCATTTCGAGAGGGAGTGCGGGTGCACCCCACTCTTAGCCATACCAGGGCTTTTGGGGGTTCTTGATGAAGACTGTTGAGAGGCGAAGTAGGCTGTAAGAAAATTAGGAGCATAAGAACAAACACATGGCATTAATCCATGAGCGAATTAAATATCAGTTTGAGCAACTTTGGTTGCGATTCCCGAGATCTTTATAATCAACAGTCGGGAACATCAGGCAGGGTGTAAATATCGGTCACATTGTCACAGATGCACCCATTCTTGACCTACATTTAAACCACGAAGTAAGAAATCACCTTATTTTTGGAATTCCACATATCGATTCTCTTCTTATATTCTAATGAAGATTAAATTATGGATAACTTCTTAGAACTATTATTGGACTAATATCATATATATGTATATCTATATCCCTTTTATTATAAGCTTCCTTTTTGATCTATAGATTATTATTATACGAAGTACTGTTCTTTAGCCGAACTTAAAGTCACAACAAAACGTTTATTATAATTAATACCATTTTGGTATTCATCATGACGAACAATTTAAGACGATGAACATTTCTATCAGGTTATTACATTCCTTGAGTCTAAATTAGCTAATAGCATAAATGAGCTTATTTATATACTGAGAATCAAATGAATAAATGATTTTACAGTGAGAAAGCTGATGAATAATTTATCCCAGAAAAGCAAGAATAGAACCAATCACAAAAATATCAAAAGGAAATAAGAACACAGATAAACCTCGCTCTTCATTTGTGTTCGAAAACTTTTTTAATAAAGATGATAGAAGTACAAAAAAGGTTTTAAAAGCATTTTCTATGTAAATTAAAAAAATTTTTTCCACTTGCATATACATATCCAGTCTTAAATTAAACGATTTGTGAAGATTAACTATTGAGCTGTATGTAGATTTTTTATCAAACAATTTATACCATTACTAATGTAGACTTTATTTAGTTTTCAATACTAGTCACAGAATGTGAGATCTTTGTGTATAAAAAATGAGCCACAGGATAAAAGCGAGAAAAGTTTTTGTATATAGGAACGTTTGTATGGAAAAATATTTATGTAAATAAAATGTTTATACAAAGAATACTCAATATTAGTTTTTAGTAAAAGGGAAAATAAAGCATGTTAAGGGTTTTTAGTAATATGCGGAATAAGCAAACATATCAACCGGATCAGAAAGTAAATGGCAATTGGGTTTAACTGTAACATATCAGTTTTGATAATTCCAAATATTATCAGTTGTATACATATATAGATGCATAAATGAGGCTAAAGAAACAATATTTCTCCGTGTATATAGAAATAAAATACATAAATATACATTCAAGCTGCATTTGTCTCTTCAGAAGCGCATAAATGTAGAGAATTTAGATTCGGTACGAAATTCTCTAGTGTATTCCATACAGCTTCTGTTATAAAGTAGAAAAATAGAAGTACATATATATTGCGTATTACTGTAGTCAGCAATGATGATTAACATTCAAACTCATAACTATTTAACCTGGATGAAATAAATGAGAATTAGTTGGATATAGCATTACATTTCTTCTGACAGTCCTTTGGTTTCAAATGCATAATCGGTATGTAGATCGGGAGACTAAACCTAAAATGCTATCAATATAATTTAATACTCTATTTCAATTGTTTGTAATACTTCTGAGAAAGTTGTGTTTTGTAAACCGGTTTACTTAGTTAAAGATAGAAGAGACATCGATACCGTGATTAGGATGTGAAGACCGACTCCACAATTTCGAATAATGTACTGATTCATACATGTAATGTAATAATTTTTTTTGCTTCTATGTTCAGATTATATTACAATACACTTTCATCTTAAAAGTATGCTGACAATACAGTTATAGTCTCCAGTCAAATATGACGTTAACTAGAATATGGAACTCGAAAGTTCGCAGAAATATTGTTATGAACATAGGAGTGTGAGACATGAATAGTAAACGAATGTATACAAAGTCGATTCGCCACAAATAGCAATGGACAAAGCAGTTTGAAGGCATAAGCACTAAAATAATAAATTTTCCTACAAAACACTTCAAAGAATACTCCTTACAAGTAAAGGACATTTTGATTATATACATGGAAGAATTAAAAGTGAATAAATAGGAAAACATACAGAGATATTAAATACCTTTTAACTGATCTAAAGATACATTACTATCGTCTTGAAATGGATCATCAAATCTCTCTGCAATTGGTTCATCTGATTCATCATGATACGTTGCGAAATAACGATGAGCTAGTGCTTGAGCAGCTGTTAAACGTCGATCTGGATCAAGGTGAAGCATCTTTTGTAATAAATCAACAGCTTTAAAAATAAGAAAACGCAGAGGAAAAGGTGTACCATAACAACCTTTGCATTATCACGATGTCAAAATGTATTTTTCTTAAGTACGGAACATTATATGGATGTTATATTAAAGCATCTAATGATTATAAACTAATCAATGAATAAAGAATTCCCAAGAACAGACAAGCAGAAATATGCAAAACTACAAATGACTATAATTCAAAGACCGAACAACTCCGATAATTCATATATTTATAATTCAGTTAATAAATAATAACAAGAACAATATAACACGAAACTGTATATAATTTCTTCTGGAGTTTCAAATGAAAATCATCTTACTTAAACATGTTCAATCAATTTAAAAACCAATGAATAATAGAGTGGGAGTAAAATGATTCATAAGGTAATATTCCGATCACTTTGAAGTTTAACTATTCCATGTATAAATAACAAAAAGGTTATTAGCCTTGGTTACTCATGATAATGGGACAAACATTAAAAACCAGTAATGCAATTTTGGGATCATGTAGACGTCTCTTTTAAATATGCGCTAATAATGTTGTTCAGAAGGACAGTGAAAGCCTCATAACCAAACCATCCAGAGCAGAGACCACAACATCAACATTATACAGATTGAAATGAAAATCACCATACGTTTGAAAACAACTGTTAAGCTATTGAGATAACACGAGTATATAACTTACAATAATCGCTAAAGAAACTCTTTCAATATTATCTCAAATAAGGCGCATACTCTGACATTTTAAGCATTGAAGACTAAAATGACACGGAAAAGGAGAATCACGTATTAATGTAACCGTTGATCTGTTAAATCATCAATTGAAACGATTATTTTATTAATGTTTGAGTCAGTGACAATAAAATAACTCATTAACATTGTATTCGAACATAATTAAATAGATTTATTTATATTCTTCTATGAACGAGAATATGTTTAGTTAGCCAACATTTATTCAATCACTGAAAGCAGAAAAACTAAAACACATTTGGAAGGACACAGAGCTTTTGTTGTTTGAGACGATAACTTCCTTAGAAGATCCTTTATAATACAAATCTGAACAGGGAAATTTATGATTAATATGAAACCAAAACTTCGATATCAACCAGTCAGCTACAACGTAGGACCAGGCACATAAATGCATCGGTCCAAGTTGCCATACCTCATTAGCACAATTTGTTTATGATTTATTTATTTTAACACATAGATATTGGTACAAGGAGGCACCAAATACATATGCGCCACACAAATCTCATTTGATATGTGTGAGGGCTGTGATACTGCCCGGGTGCCCACACCGAAGTAGTTACTTCAATGGTAGTAATATATAAAAGAATGCATATAAGGATATAATACAGGAAGAAAGAATTAGTTCGTAGAAAGAAAGATATAAAGCAATTTTAATCTCAGTTTAAGGGAAGACAGAGAGTGTATACACCTACGCCATTGTGATCGGTTCTGAGCCATGTCACCAAGAGTCTCCAACCATTCGTTACGATAGTCACGCGGACCCCAACCAAGTAGTCTGCATCTACCAACATGGCTCAGACTACAAGTTAGTGACTTCAAGCACTGATGCCACGTCTTAGTTTGGCCACCCCTAACTTTCTTCCAACCATCCCCAACACCAGTTAGCATTACGCGTCGTGGTAATCGGTGTTCAGGCATACACAACGCGTGGCCCAACCATCTCAGTCGATGAAGATTCACAACCTCATCAACTGCATTACTATCATTCCCTAATACCCCACGTCTAACTTCACTATTACTTACCTGGTGATCCCAGCAGACGCGAGCAATATTTCTAAGGCATCTGTGGTCAAATACTAGTAGCTTACGAGTATCTTCTACTCGATATCAACCGAATTCTTGTAAGAAATGTTTCCGAATAAACCTTCGTGATGGTTAACAGAGTTGGCGATATATTTTATCATTATCATACATAGTAAAAATATCCATGGGAGTTTAAACGAAAATGTTCGGCATTATTACCACTACCATTACACAAGAATACAAAGAACGAGTTTTCTTAATGCACGATAGTGAAAAATATCAACAAGGAAATCGTTATCCGTATGAATTTATCGATGAGTGGTATTATTCGCATGAATCATAAAACGCCTCCATGGATGTAGTATAGAATAAAAATTAAATAAGTAAAATCTAACCAGCAATTTTATGAAACATAAGCAGACATTGATCATAGTACCATTAAAAATTAGGAAGCAGTAAAACAGTCATAACGTTACTGTTTTAGACTCATTAACAATATGTACAAAGTGACAAACTCAAATAGAATAGAAGCCAAGATATTTAGATCTTTGTAAAAAGCCAGATACTATTTAGACGTCGAGTGAGAATTCATTTCACGTAAACATGAACTTAAAAAACATACGAATTACATCTTATTAACTTACCGTCACTTGAAAAAGAAGAAAAATATGTGTACAGATTTTGTGGTTCACATTTACTAATATCACGGATAAATCCACATGCCTTTAAAAATAAAAAAATGCAAATATAAATGAATTTGTATGAGACAGGATGCTAAAATGATTGAAAAAACAAAGCAAAGAATTTGCAGTTACGTGGAAGCTATGTACTGCTGTTTGTTATTAAGTTGAATCTGAAGTAATATTAATGATGATAAGCATAGAAAAGATACTTTCCATCCGAAAATGGAAAAATATAAATTTTGAACTAACAGTAGTATTTTTATATTTATTGATCATATTGTTATGCCTAACTTCAGATGAAGTATAAAACAGTAAATATGACCAATATTGATCAAATCTATACTCAATTTAATCAAAATATAATTTATGATTCCCTGCAATATGATTAAGCACCCAAATGTCCTGGTATGGCTAAGAGTGGGGTGCGCCCGCACTCCCTCTCGAAATGCTCTCACACGGCCACGTGTACACAGCCTCTGTCAGGCAAGTCCTACTCACTGCGTTCTCGTGGCGGTAGTATTGTTTACGAAAATGAGAGGACGAAAAGTGAATGTCCGGCGTTTTAACCGGGCCAGTGGACACGGTGGGTCCACCTAAGGGAGTTGGAAAACCCTGATTCCAAACCAATGGTGCACATGGGCTCCAGTATCCTGAAGGGACAAATGGCGTATGAAGCAATCGTTGATCACCGGCTATTATGGGACTGCATCTCCTCACGATGCTCTACTGCCTTTTGGACCAGACCTTTAGGTCAAAGGCTCGGAGTGTGGCCTCCTAAGAAAATCACCTGTTTCGGTCCGGGCACCCGGGTAGTATCCCGGCCCACACACAGGTGAAATGACGAAGTGTGGCGCATGTATATTTAGTACCAATCTGTACCAATCTTTATGTGTGTAAATAAATAGTGAGTAATATGGGTAAATCAAAAGCAGGTAGTGATTAAAGAATGATAGCGAAAGGAAAATACTTCAGTGCTTTATAAAATAAGTAAATATTGAATACACAACTAATATTCTTTTGGAAATATTCATATACCAAAACAATAAACAGTTCACTTTTATAACTGACTGACCTCGTCTGAGGTAGAACACAAGATTCTGATGGTGTCACGAGTGAGGTGTTCTAGAATAGAACGAAACAATTGTCTAGTGTTACGTAGTCCTGAATGGTTTGCAAACTAATACTTGTCCGTAATGAAAACTAGCTACAAACTAAAGTCTCCTAACATAGTGACTGAAATAATTATTTAAAAACCTCTGAGAAATTTATTGACTGTCATATTAAATAACCTTATCGTTTGAATATAATGACTGATTATAACAGGATGGAAACATATATACTTGAACACATTAATGAATAAATACATGGATGCATACATACAGTACAGGAGAAACCTTTACATAAGAATCAGTTCCAAGGTTAAAAAGAGAACTTTAACAATGAAAGATAAATAACTTACAACAATGCAATTTTATTACAAAAATAACTCAGCAAAACAATATTTTGGGCTAGATATAAAATCTTATTTAGAATAGTTACAAAAATAATATTTCTGATTTTCTAAAAATAGATGGTTACATTATTATTATTATTATTATTGTTATTATTATTATTAGTAGTAGTAGCAGTAGTATCTGTAATGAGGATCGCAAAAGGGAGTTCAATTTAAATTTTTATTCTATATATTACGTCACCCATGTCATGTGTAGAACAACGGTGATAATAGTTGCCATTTTCCCAGACTGGAATCATATTAGGAGGTAAAACTAAATAGTTAAAAAGTGAAAATTTTAACCATTGAGGTGAGACCTCACTAAAATTTGATGTAGTGATGTAAGACAACTGAGGATTGTGAATTAAATATTTTGTTAAAAACAAGTGACAAATTACGTTTGACAGTGAAATGGAAGGAGTAATCAGTAATTCAATCAGCAGAATAATGAATAAATGTTGTGACTGATAATCATTATGTTAATTATTGGTGTATCAAAGTGTATAAGTTAGCACATAATGAAGGCAGAAATTTATAAGCGCTAATGTTGTAAAGATAAGAAAGCAACCACGGAAAAAATATTGCACTGCAATATCCGGTGGTTTAACATTAAAATACAAGATGTAACTAGAGTTAAAACAGAACCAACAGACGAAGGGTAGTCTGTTATGCAGTATGAAACCTGACTAACGCAAATAACTGTTTGATATTATTTTGATATTCTTCTTAAACATACACTTTCTATTTGTTTTTGAGTTTTGTGGAAAATATGCTACGGATCAGTCAAATTAAATTAATTCGAAATAACTACTGTTAATTTCATATTATTAGATCAAATGATAACACCAACTACTTGAAAATATATGAAAAAAAAACACCTAGATGTAACATATCTTTAGAAGTCATCTGCAGAATGTAAACATTAGAATGATAGGCTTTATATCACTAAAAAGTAGTAAATATCATATTTAAACGAACGGTTATTTATTCAGCTAACATCACAATTACATGCCGTGATGTCATAATATATCATCGGTAATTCTTCAAAAGTAAAAGACAAATGAATATATATATATATATATATACAACACGAGAAACATGTATTAAATATGATAATCATTCTGATATGTATATAAACTATGGAATTGACAATGTAATAATAATGATAACAATAATAATAATAATAATAATAATAATAATAATAATAATAATAATAATAATAATAATAAACACTTAAATAATCCAATGAAAAACAATAAAATTAATTTCTAATGTGAATATAATTACAAATTAGCCATCTATGAACTGAAAATTTATTGATACTCGATAATTTATTACAAACATTTAGTGTTGGTTGTAAATTTATTCTCATAAAATATTATTTTATGGGCTGTGTATGGTTTCATCTTAATGTGAAACAATCGATTTATGTAGGTGTTGACTGTATAAGTGAAAATTATCAATTAAACAAAATTTCATATTTATGCTTTACTATTATTATAAAAGAATGCAGTCAAATATAATTATTAATAAGATTAATTTAGTGTTCTCTAATAACATCAGCTTACAAGATAATTTGTTCTGTACAGTTAGTTATGTAAACCGATAAAAAAAAAGAAAGGAACCACGCTCAGAAAAAAAGTATTGGTGAAGAACTCATCTGGAAAAATAAACACTAATAGTATGAAATATGAACAAACGCAGTGATAATGTAAATTGTTTTTGATTTAATCATGCATGACACGAGATATATGCTTCAAAATAATAGTTACATTTACTCTACAACTTGTTTCACGAGGTTATTACTGTTTTACACACGTTGTATGTTTAGAGAACTACAATAATTCAACTTGTCACATAAGTTCAAAGTTGTTTAGTTAATGGTGAATTATGAAATGTTAAATAATATTAACTGATTATCCTAAGTAAAATAAACAGAACTATTTGAACTAATAACCTGATATATGATATTCTGAGTTAATATGCCTCAACTATTCCATAGCATTGTAATAACTATTATAGAGAAGTATTACATTTTGCATTCTTTGTAAAGCCTAAAAGTCAGTTAATTATTAATGTGAACGCAAGATATAGTAAACTGTCGAATTCAGTGTGAAGCTAAAGTTCTAAAAAACTATTAGTTTATGTACTAGATTTGAAGTTACTCCTTTTATGCAACAGATAGTGATAATGCTCGAATACGCAAACCAAAAAGGGTAAGGCGGGATTAGTACTTAGCATTCAACAGTTGAAACTCAAGTGCCTTATACACTGAGCCACTTTGTTTATTTTAGTTTGAGCAGTAGAGTGGTATCACTGCTCTTCATGTCGATATAAAAAATCATGTTTTGATTCATGAAGTCGCTTAGAACATCAGATTTAAAAGGTGTTTTTAATAACAAATGAAGTATATTGTGTTGAAATGATACTATGAATGAGAGAGTTAAATTATTGGAAACTAGAAGTTGGTAAACAATGGAATATAGGGTATGACATGTATACCACCAATTACATTGAACAAACGAAATTTGACTTTTATACACAATGAATAAACGGAAGCTTCATATATGAATAATAATATAGTTTGATATAAGATATTAGCTTATGGTTAATTTAATAGTACGGTGATCAGCAACAAGCAATAAACCCATGAGAACAGCCGATAATTTGTTTGAATAGTGGGCTTTGTTACAAAAAGATAATTAGTGAGTGGTAACTGTCAATATTTTCTAATTTGCCTAGTAGATCACTATATTATTAATTAATTTACCAAAAAATAGGTTCACACTGTTGATTAATTTACTAAACAGAGATTACAGGAAACTTACATCTAACATTGGGTTTTTGTCGTTCTTGAAATTATTTTTAAAGGAAGAAAATTGGTGAAAACGGCTGGATTCAAACTAAAACTTTTAATTGTAAAGAAAAGTGTTGGTTTTAAGTAGAAAAGGGTGTAAGTTTGTTTCAGGCAAATATAAAACGAAGAAGGAATAAAGTTAGTCAATCACCACCAATATACAGCTTGGCAAAGATGCGTGTTAGGCCAAATTATTTAAGTAGTTATGAACATATCCAGAAACAGATAGGTACCTAGTTAGTTAAAATTTTCTGCAAAATGCATAGCCAAGTGTTATTTGAAATGTTTTCTTACTTTTCCTAACAGAGTAATTTACAAAACAAGCAAGATATGAAGCAGTCTTTCTAACAGTATCGTGTAATAAGAGAATATTTTAATATGAAAATCTCGTAACCAAGTCTCTTCATGGTTAATTTGATGTTTCGCACTTCCATATAAACCGCCAGTTGGAAAAATAAACTCCAAAAACTTTTATCACATAAGAAAAATGAAATTAATCGGGGCTTTCAAACATATTTCAGGCAAACGCTAATGCTCAAACAGACATATGTAAAACACAGATAAATCATTATTAACATAGTACGGAATAGTAACAAGAAAAATGCCAGGTAGAAGGTAAGTTTTGCCAAGAACTGGAAATAGTTGCTATAGTGAGGTCGATTCATGATGAAAGTACCATCAAATTGAGCAACTACAAAACCACTACATATATATAGACAGATAAGTTATAAAAACATCAAAAAATACAAATATTTGGACAATATGGTATCTACATTTAACGCTAAGAGGCCAGATAAAACAAAGTAAATATTTCCGTTTATGTTTGAAAAATTTTATCAAATAAGACATAGGAAAACTACTGTTATTCACGTTAAATTAATATCGAAGCTCCAATAAATACTAAAACTAGAATCCAAATATTATATGATACCTCAAATTATCATGGTTCACTTGATCTTTACTGGTTAGAATTAAGTAAGCCAACATTTTATTTAGTATTTCTCAAAACGAATATGTACTTAAAAACATGTTATTCAATACAATCACAAGAGAAAAGAATACCAATAGTAAATTAGATAGATAGAAAAACAAATCGCTTACTTCAGGACTGTTAATTTTTTTCATAAATTCTTCATCAGGTTTTCCTAATAAATTGAGAATCAACTGAATTTGATGAATATGATTACCACCTTTAAATAAAGGTGCACGATTTCGCAATTCAGCCATAATACATGCAACGGACCAAACGTCAACTGAAAAAAATGGAGAAATTAAAAAAAATGAAACCATTAATCTTCTTCAATATAATACATATGTTCGATAAGCTGATCGATAATAACATGTGAATAATTCAAAGTTTACTGATAGTGTGATGAACGAAGACTTGGTTAGGGCAAACCAATTCATTGTATCATGCGAAATCACATAGCATTTGTAAGATATGAAAACAATACATTGAATACACCAATTGTACATCTTCCTTGAATTGTCTCTTACAAACGCCATCGTTCTTCCATTCTTGTTGTTACTCTGACTACCTTTGCTTTTCATTCTCTTCTCCTCATGTTCCTCTTGTGTCAGTAAGGATCCTACTTCCAAATCTTGATACATACTATTTACATCTGTCCGTATAAGCATCACACAACACAATAGTACGGGTTACAAGGTTCATCGTTTTAAACACATCAAATAGATATCCTTATTTAATTCCATTCAATGTTATTGATAGTGTAATTGGATAAAATGGTATCCAGCTTATATGAGCAAAAGATATTCAGAAGAGAACAAGTCAGAGACAGTGGTAAATGCAAAAAATCGGTAATACAGAACAGCAAGTCCTTCAGCATTTGGAAGATAAAGTATGGAAACACCTGTGTCAGAGATTGAACTCAAATCTTGACAGCCATTGAGAAACAATTATAAAGACGGTAGAAAATCATAAAATTAAGGTAGATATAATTTTGAAAGTAAAACTCTCTATCATTATGCTTGGTTTTAATAATACTAGTACACAAATTGAAAACAATAATGGTCCAGAATATTTGTCTAGCATATACGTAAAACAACTTCAGTAGCAACTGTCCAGAAGAATACACAGAAATTACGACTTGACAAACATTGATTAATCGCTTAACTATTTTTACTATTACAGATTGTTCTCCATCGAAGCTGTTGACAACTGAGAAGCTTCCTTTGTGCTGTTATTGATAATCATACGATAAAAAGAAGAAAGAGTATGTTTGCAGATTTATTTTCTATGAACTTGGTGTTTATGAAAAAAACGTAAAGATTAACATTTCTGTGAATAAGAAAGGTTGAAGAAATTGATAAACCGTAAGAGTAAATATGCATTTTTTATTACCAGATTCATTGTAATGCATCCAATTCAACATAACTTCAGGTGCTCGATACCAACGAGTTGCAACATAACCAGTCATTTCTTCCTGTTTTTGTCGTGCTAAGCCAAAGTCGAGAATTTTCAATTCACAATCTTCATTTACTGCTATATTAGCTGGTTTCAAATCTCGGTGAATTAAGCCAATACTGTGCATATACTATGAAACGAAATAAAATAATACGCATGATTACATTAAATAATAGCATGTGACTACACGAAGCAGAAAAACGAATCATCAAGTGCATGTAGAAGAAAAAAACAGGAAGCATACCGCTGTAGTTCCAAAACATGTGAATGAAGACAACATAGGACTTTAATTTAAGCAACTACCAAGACTGTATTTGATTAAGGAATTTTCCAATAATATTGAAATTTACCTATCGTTCTCCACAGATAGAAGTCTAGAAAACAATCAAAATCGTCTATCATACGTGGCTAGCATCTTAGATACTTGGTATATTCAGATAGATATAAGAATAAAATGTTTTCACCATGAATAACGTGGAGGAAAACTCTAGTTAAAACAATATTATTCACATCAAAATTTCTCTGAAAGTATACAGGTTTTATTACAATCTCAGTATAAAAATATTATTTGATAATTATAAGATGACCTTTTTTAACTAGTCAGTTATAATTGACGTAGGCCCCGCCACGAATATACTTTAGTTCAAGTTGATGTATAACATTAACACTATGAGATGAAAGCAGAAAGATGAATGGGAAACGAATTTCAATAGTGTTGTAACAAAGATTATGAGAAAGACAAAACACGGCAAAGCAGATACATTTAACCCTAAGAGTTTTTGAGTAGCGTGCTGCTTATAAATCTGTGTAATAACAAACTAATCAAAGCCTAAAAATGCCACACTGAGATTCCCGATTCTATACTAACATATTCATTACAAGACCACTACAAAACATTTTTGAATACATACGGTCAACGATGCGCAGGTCTCAGTTACAAATTAAGATGAAACAGTTATTTGCTGTTGAACGGTTTTGATCATTTTCATAAATAGTATGTTGGAAGAACGTAATTTTCACTAGTAAATGTTGATTTTGACGGAGCCTTTTATAGTTATCATTAGAAATATTATTCTATGACAATTACTTTTACATAAGGTTCAGTCATAAAATTTTTTGAAAAGTTCAACAGTAATCCTATACAAATGGCTTTACACTAAGACATCAACTGACATTTTTTAAAATTTACAGAATATTAACTGTAGTCTATATGAAACACGTATTATGGTAGTCATATATCCGGAGGATTTTTTTAATCGTTAACATTGGACAGATAATCAATGACATATTATGATAGTCTCAAAAAATCTACCTTTACATAACTTCCAGAAACTATTTGCGTACTACAATGAATTCAATAACCCAGGTAATTTACTTAGACGATGATAAAATGTACTCCTCTAAGTTAACTCAACTTACTTTTAAACCCCTTAAAATTTGATACACAAGAAAACGTATTTGTTCATCTGATAACGATTGAGTTTCAATAATAGCTCCAAGATCAGCACCCATCAATGGTGTTACTAGATAACTGGTGAGAAAAATTTAATCAAACAATAAAAAATTACTACAAAATGCATGTATTTACCGAACACAGATGTCAAGAGCAATAGCTTGCTGATAACCAATGTGTATTTAAGACTAAATAACATACTTATGTCTAGTTTATCAAAGTATTTACTCATCATTTTATTAAATACGGTTGTATTAACCTTAGAAACAAATAAAATACATTTCGTCTAGCCATCATAGACATTAATGACTGAAACTTTCGGATTTGTTAATATGATAATCACGGCATATTTACACCAGATGCAAAAATGCAGCAAACACTAATTATTTTAACTAACAGTTCAGTAGGATTTCAAATGAATGGCTGACTTTTGTCAACTAAAGTTCTATTTACACAATATGACTCACCATTAAATTATCCTTCATATTTGTGCAACAATTGGTGAGTAGGTGAACTTCATCTTTAAAACCAGTTAGTGCGTTCAAATTAAACACAATGGGTTTACTTTACGGCTAAGTATACGAATCTACGTAGATATTGGATTACATGAATAAACTGTCTAACAAAAAGCAGACTGCAATCATAAGATCTTATTATCTGAAATTCACGGTACACCAACTTTATTTCCTTAGAAGTACTACCCATTTGCAGCAATAAACTTGGAGTATTTCTTATTTCATTGTTCACTGATGAAAGTTTTCAAAACTTATTTTCATCATCTACCTCGTCGTTTCATATAGCTCCACAAATACGTGATTTGCTATAATTACATGTACAGACGATCTGCTTAAATTCGGTTCGTTAATAATTATCCAGACAAAGAGTCCGGAATCGGAAGCGGCATTACACTACACAACTTCGATGTTAAGGTAAATAATGGTGGTACACGGTTGTTTTACCATTGCACCAACCTTGCAATTTTTGTGGCTCTTATTGAAACGTTTGATCCGCTTGAAAAAAAAATTGTTCTATCACCATAAATACCCCCAAAGTTTTGCGAATACACTGAGATTTTGCTACTTCTCATTAAAATTGGATGTAGATCAGTCTGGAAATTTATTGGACATAAAGGGGGTATATAATTTTGTCAAAGGATAACCAATCGGCATTTACTGTTTTGTTACCAACTACATTAAAATACCGTCACGTGACATATTTGAAATATCGTTTCAAGTCACAAACTAAACTATCATTTCTATAAAAATAATTTCATTCAAAAATCAAATTCTAAACTTTAAATTTCAACATACATATCTGTAAATTCTTTTAATGATGTCTGTGGTGAAAAGGCATCAATCAAACAAACGATCTGTAAGAATAGAAAGAAGAATACAAATAGCATTGATGATCAAGTGACATTAAAAAGACTAGCAACAAGAATTGACTACCATAACTTAGTAGTCTACAACACGACTTGAAACGAGAGCTATTAAAGTCGTGTATCAGTAGAGTAAAAGAATCTATGATTCTACAATAAACTGATTCGTTATTGCAAACTTAAATCTAATTCAAAAATCATGCTAGAAAAATTGATAAAACAACAATATCCAGGCGTTAAAACTTATTAATTATTAGATAAAAAAGCAGACTGGTGGAATGTTTAGTTGAAATTCACATAAAAAACATACAATACTTCCATGATTAATTTAAAAACCTTGGTGCCAATTTAATTATCGATGACCGACAAGAAAAAATAATACTACAGAAAACAGTTCTAAAAGTCGTACAAACACAGTATGATATGGATTCAAGCTTAATCCCGCTCAGAATACGAGTTACATCGTTTTTAATAATTAGTTTATACCTTCCTGTAGTTCTAAAAAGCGTAGATATAACAGTTACAGATTTAGAGGTACAACCACCTTCACTAGTAGTTAACAAGTTAATTAAATCAAATTATATAGTAATTTACTACTAAGTCACTTAAATTAATGATGGCGAACAGTAAGCTTATCAGTACTGAGGGGAACAATACGACAATATTATGATGCGACGGATTATATGATTAATCCAGTTTCTAGAAAAGGTCAATAATGAACTTCACACCTTAACAGTATTATCACTAACTGCAACAATTTGCTGATTGATTAGTAATAGGATCATTTGAAGATTTCCTATAACTATTTAAATATTATAATAATTGTTACATATATCGAAACCATAGTAATGGCTAGTGTCGTAGTACTTGGGTACATAATAACAAATGAGTGGTAATTCACAACATAAGTTGATGTACATTATGCTTAGTTTCAGCAAAGGAAATTAGTGTGGAGCAGTAAACTGTCAACTGGAACTTCAAAACTAACTGTAGCTAAAAAATAAAACATTACGTATGTACTTATTTCAACATTAATTAAGTTAACCCAAAATTGTCAAGTAATTAGTTATTCGATTACTTTCCTAACAAACTACAGACCCAATACTCTTTTGAGTATTGGATCTGATGGCCAGAAACACGTTTTTATTGACTTACATTTTCATGATCCATTTGAGATAAAATATTGATTTCCCTATATGTTCGTTTCGTATATTCAATATTTTCAAAGGGTCTACTCAACTTTTTGATGGCTACACGACGGTTTAGTTTGTTATCGTGGGCAGAACTGCATATATTGAGGAAAACAGATAAACGACAACAATTAATAATGGAAAATTACTTATGCAGCATGACAGATGAGTGAGGTATTTAACATACACTGAGAAATTTACAATTACTTAAACGCTATAACAACAGTCACATCAGCAAGAAAATAGAGATTATAAGATCAAGCTGGAAAATTATGTGATGGGAGTTAACCTCGAGAAATAATAACATACATACTACTGGAGAATAACTTGGACAACCCATTTCCCAAGTGCGAACAAGCAAACGAATTACGACTTCTAACAAACGTGAGATATAAGAGTATGAAAAACTTCATAAAAATGGAGACGGAAACGGGTTTTAATGAGCTTCCAAAGTTATTTTTCAAATAACTCTGCCCCTTTCTCATATCAGAGATGCACACATTGTACTTTGTCTTTGATGCTTGACCATCCCATCAAGTAACGTTGTCTAATTTTTACAACTAGAACAGTAAGTATGGGCTAAATATCCTGTTATGACTTTATGTCCGGCTTTTTATCACCTGATTTACCCACCAATCAAAATGAGACTTATACAATCTTCGTACTGTACCAAATCAATGACGTTCGACCGGTATGGGGAGTCTAGCGTTCTTATTGGTCCTATGTTCGCCTAGCCCGTCCATTTGAGTCCAGAACACCGAATAGCAGCTTCTAATATGCGAATCGAATCGAATCATTTATTTCAGACATACTGGGTTTAAATGTCAATCAAACAGACCGCAACGCACCATAAAATAGGAAATAACATTTGTACACAATAAAGCCAAAAAGTGGCTGTGAACGTGGGAGGTAGTAGTTAATAAACTGAACATAGCTTAAGAACCGTAAATCGTACAATAATAAATTATATATCAAAATAAAGCTTATAATAAGAGGAATATAAATATACATAATCTAATTATTGAATAGTTATACCATAAGAATGTATGGATAATATTAGCCAATTAGTATGTCTCAGAAGTTACTCGTGATTTAATCTTCGCTCGGATATAACATATTCCATCCTAAATGACTGTTTGTTTAAGCCATGTTCATAGATGTAGATTATCTAATTGGAGTCCGCGAAATAACAATTAGTAGCTGAAGATATTGGGTAGCAAGGTTTATAAACGATCACTCTGAAGCAGATACATTCACTCTTTATCTCTCGTTGGATCTTCAGTTACAGATTTCTTTCACACATGACTTTTTATCGGTTTTTCAAACCATAAGATAGATGTTTAGTCTTTCTCATTACCATTGCTACAACATTATTAGAATTCTTTTCCTACTCATCTTGCTACTCTCATCTCATAGTATTAACACATCAACTTGAAATAAGTTATATTTGTAGCGGGCCCTAAGTCAGCTATGACTAACCGACTAAATAATTAACCTTAATTTTACTGTTGGAAAAACTAACAAAATTATTGGATACATTTTTTATGACTATTTGGTGAATTCCTTACCATAAAACTAAAATTTATAAAACAGTTGAAATTTTTAAGCGCAGCAGGAGGAAATAAAGAATTTTAGTCTCTTTCTATAGAAATTTTGAAATTAAAGTTGCCAACATACAAACTTCCCTTATTTTTTTCAATAGGTTAAAACTTATCTTTTTAAAGGTTGATGAAAATGAGCTGAGTTTAAACTTAATGAACCGTTGATTTCCGGGGTTAAATGAGTACTACGCTTACAAACTCTTATCGATTGTTTATTGGAGAGCAAATATTTCAACTGTGCAATGAGGTGAGAGTAAATTACATATTCGAGGACAATTACAAGACACAAAACACGTGTGACCTAGTTTAAATTGCATTAATCCCATTCAACAAACGATAGCTTTAGTACCAAGGTTTATTTTATTTTAAACAGTTTGCACGTTAAACTACTCAATCAGCAGAGCACAAAGAAACAACGCAAAATAAAGCGTTATAGATATTCTGTGACAGCGATCCTGTTAGTTGGCTACTTGATCGGAATTATGAGATGTCACTAATGCTCAATAAAAGATAACTCAAGACAAAACAATATTCGGAGATATATTGATAAATATAAGTGTATGTAAGGTTCGTTAATGCTGACATACCAAACAGTTCCGTACGCCCCATACCCGATCATTGAAAGTTCATTGTATCTTGAGGGAACACACCATTCTACTTGGTTCAGTTGTAATGATACAAAGCCAGATTTCAAACTCTTGGCGGAAGACATGAATCTAAGAGAAGGTAATTAAAAGCTCAAATGTTAGTGGTACATAGTTATTATGGCTGAACAGCAAGTAATGTACATTCTAATAAAACAACAAGTAAAATCCATATGTGATGATAAAAATCATTGTACCTATTTTTAAAAATGAGTAGTGGTCGTTTTTGAACTGAATAAGAAGTGAACTACTTATTTAGGAAGCTTAGTTGTTGTACAAGGATGGTAGTAGTAGTTGTTATGAAAAACCTTCTGCATTCAAAGGCAAACGTGCACCTTCTATTGATGGCATCCTTATTATAAACAAAGACGAAATATTTATAAAAATATTTATTTATTTATTTGAACACATAAATATTGGTACACTTGGGCACCAAATATATATGCGTCACACAATAACAATGAGGACGGGGAGAGAAAAAAGATGTAAGGCGCGTATAAGAGAGAAGAAAGGAAAATAGAGAACAATAACGACCACAGATTAGCGCATGGTAGTGTAATAATAATAATAATAATAATAATAATAACGGGGGAAACGGAAAGGTACAACCAGAAGAGTTCTTTTAGTTAAGGAAGGTACAACCACTTTTTATGAAGAAAGTAAAAGAAGGTTACAGCAGGATCATCACTGGCTTCTATTCTGAGTCATATCTGATAACGTCTCTAGTCACTGTGTTGCACCATCTCTCGGACCCCAGCCAAGGAGTCGAGAAGGACCAACAGAAGCCGGCCCTTTGTAGCTTTCTTTCATACCACGACACCATGTCATATATTGACCACCTCTCCGCTTTTTCCAACCAGTCCCAGCGTCGCCAAATAATGTACGACGTGGAATTCTCTGGGACGACATTTGTAGTACATGTCCAGGTCACCGAACTCGATGTTTCAAGATAGTGACACCAAATGAATTATCGTCTCTGCGCCCGAACACACGATGCCGAACTTCTGCATTACTAACATGTTGTTACCACTGGATGTCAGCAATCCATTGGGTACACTAGTGATCAGACACAGAGAGTCGTCTAACATCCTCAACTCAGAGAGGTCAGGTTTCACAAGCAT